ATGGCATTCATCACATACCTTTTTACCGAACAAGTACCTTATACCTAGCTAACATGCAATGATTCTAAAATTTGTCCACATTCCATCTATATCTCAACTGACACAATGAATTTCAAATACCCTAACAAAACCTATAACTGTACATAAGAAGAATGCAAAACTACAAGAATTATGAATTTCTGAAGTTATTCTCACATGCTGGAATGTTGAAACTCTACTTTTGTTGTCCATTTCCATGTTTGATTGAGCCATCATTTAGAACTGTTTTCATTCTTCAGTCACAAGCTTTCCCACAAATCTTGAATTTTTACTCATCATCTTGAACCATGCTCCAGTCTTTCCAACAAGGTACTATGTAACATCAAAGCAATTTTGATTTGTTACAACACCTTCAGATCATGATAGGCTTGAGGTTTGTTACACCATTTGCCAAACAAATCTCTACAAAATGTGTATCAATTCCCAAACTAAGTAATTGATCATATCAGTATTTGCAGTTTCCACACAATGTTTCATAATACTATTCTATGTTTATATAAAGAGACTCAAATAATCCACAACTTGTTAATGAAACACTCCCACTTCAAGAATTCACAGCAATAACAGTACAAGTTCAGAGGGGTGTTCACGGGCACCGCACACTGCTGCGTGCGGTGTGTGCGGTACGTCCAGCAGGCGTGGGGGTAGGGGATGGGTAGGCGGCTCTGACGTCACGGCTGCGTGCGGTGGACGGTCCGCTGTGGCCAGAGGGCTGTTCACGGGCCCTGTGTGCGGACGGACCGCACACAGCTTCGAAGCTCCGCCCACTTCGTCCCTACGTCAGCCTTCCGTCACCGCACACAGCGATCGCTGTGGCCGGTCGGGACTGGCCACAGCGGACCGTCCACCGCACGCAGCCGTGACGTCAGAGCCGCCTACCCATCCCCTACCCCCACGCCTGCTGGACGCACCGCACACAGCGCACGCAGCAGTGTGCGGTGCCCGTGAACACCCCTCAGTCCCGACCGGCCACAGCGGTCGCTGTGTGCGGTGACGCAAGGCTGACGTAGGGACGCAGTGGGCGGAGCTTGGAGGCTGTGTGCGGTCCGACCGCACACAGGAGGGCTGTTCACGGGCCCTGTGTGCGGTCGGACCGCACATAGCCTCCAAGCTCCGCCCACTGCGTCCCTACGTCAGCCTTCCGTCACCGCACACAGCGATCGCTGTGGCCGGTCGGGACTGGCCACAGCGGACCGTCCACCGCACGCAGCCGTGACGTCAGAACCGCCTACCCATCCCCTACCCCCACGCCTGCTGGACGCACCGCACACAGCGCACGCAGCAGTGTGCGGTGCCCGTGAACACCCCTAGGGTCCGTGAACAGCCCTCAGAAGCAAACAAACTTTGCGCCACATTTCGTATGAAACGCGCCATCGTCCTGAAGTTTCTACCACAGACGGTAGTTCAACCGCAGCCGTAGTGCGAAAACCCCTGCCCACCTTACCCCACGGCGGAGCTCGGTTGCAATTTGTAAATACGCGTTCCGTGCGTTTCGTGCCTAAATGCAAATGGCCGCCGCCTGCAAGGCTGCCATTGTGGAAGTGATGCCACGTGACACGTGTCAATGATTCCGTAAAATTATGGACATTTTACTTAGCTTTCATCGCGATTTCATTACAGTGGTGTCTGCTATCTATCAGTGTGCCTCGTAAGTAATTGTTTATTAAGATTTGTTGTGTTAAACATTTATTTATGATGAAAAATTGGCTGCGTCACTATCGTCACCATCGCTTCTTGAGTTGAACTGTAGGTATCATGGATTTTGTTTACATTAATGGTATAGCCCAGCTCATCATTGTCATTTGGTTACCATTTTTGGATCATGATAACATACGTAACCCTGTCTTGACTGGACTCGAATTGAATTGACTTGGGTTCAGGCATGGATGAGAGTCAGGGTTCAAGTTCTTGTCTTATCACCTCATGCAGATGACTTGAATCCACATCCCAGTTAAGTAACTGACCTGAATATTTGTTAATAGTTACACAATACAGTTATATGTTTTTGCAGTGACAGGGCCTATTTTAACATGTTAACTGGGGGGGGCAAATGCCCCCGCACTCAACAGAATTGCCCCCCCAGTCGTCGAGATGTGCCCACTATAAAAATGGGCATAAAGGAACACGGTGACAAACATACAACTGTGACTTGTTTTGCAATGGATGTCAAATGAGTCAGTCTGCAAGTAATGACCAGTGGTGGATCCAATGGTGGGTTAATGGGTTATGACCCCCGCCCCCTTTGGCCCGGGGACACCACAGGCCTGCCTGGGGCACCACCGGCCTGTCAGGGGCACCACAGACCTGTTGGGAGCACCATCGACCTAGGAAGAGCACCATAGGTCTGCCAGGGGCACCACAGACCTGCCAGAGGCCCCACCGGCCTCGCAGGGGCGCCACCTTGGGCCTGTCAGGGATACCACCACAGCTCAGGCCCGCCAGGGGCACCACAGGCCTGCCAGAGGCACCACAGGCCTAGCAAGGGCACCACGGACCTGTCAGCGACACCACGGGCCTGTCGGGGGCACCTCAAGCTTGTCAGGGCCAAGGGACACCACAGGCCTGTCAGGGGAACCAGAGGCCTAGCAGGGACACCACATGCCTGGCAGGGGCACCACCGGCCTCGCAGGGACATCTTGGGCCTGTAAGTGGCACCACGTGCCTGTCGGGGACACTCCAGGCTTGTCAGGAGCACCACAGTCCTCTCAGGGCCCAGGGGCACCAGCGGCCTAGCAGAGGCACCACCGGCCTAGCAGGGACACCAACGGCCTCGCAAGGGCATCATGGGCCTGTCAGGGGCACCACGGGCCTGTCGTTGGAACTTCAGGCTTGTCAGGGGCACCCACAGTTCTTTCAGATGCACCGGCGGCCTAGCACCATGGCACCATGTTTGGCCGGGATTGCGATTCGGCGCATGTCGCCTCGCATTAGCCGCTCGTTTGCAGTCTTTTCGTGGTTTCAAACGTTCAAACATGGGATATGATGTTGCTCCCATGCATTAGGGTGGGTGTCAAGGTCACCGGAAGGTCAGGTCAGGTCATTTACCTTTGATGACCTCGGTTCACATTTTCGAGTTCTATAAGATTCTAGGCTAGTTTTTGGAGCTAAATTCGAATTTAGCAACCATTTGACCGTTTGCGAAGTAGTTTTGGTGCCTTCGTAACATGTTACGAGGCTGTCAGAGGCGGTTGCCACCTACTACGAACACCCGCCAAAACCCTTACTGGTTGACCTGACCTGACCTGACCCGACCTGGCCTAAATGCATGAAGACATCATCTATAATCATAACTAACATGATATTCGTGATCATCACGCCGAAAAAACATAGCAGCCACCCTTTACGATGCTCTAACAGGTCTCGATTTTCCCGACTTTTGGGTCATTGACCTGACCTGGAAGGTCAAATGATGACGACCTAGGACCTTAACACTCGCCGGCACAGGCCATTTTGCGTCCTTCGACGGCACAAGGGGGGTTGGTACGACCCCCCCTCGCGTTTGGCCCCTGATCGAGCTAGAGCTTCGCGGAAAAAACGAGCGTGCTGCCCGTCACGAGAGGAAGCCGATGATATCCAATTTTAATGTCCTAGGTCATCGGGTGACCTTCCAGGTCAGGTCAATGACCCGAAAATCGGGAAAATCGGGACCTGTTAGAACGTCGTAAAGTGTGGCTGCTATGGGGTTTTTCGGGGTGCTGATCCGAATGATATCATGTGAGTTTTGATCACAGATGATGTCTTCATGCATTTAGTCCAGGTCGGGTCAGGTCAGGTCAGGTCAACCAGTAGGGGTCCTGCCGGGTATTCCTAGTAGGTGTCAACCGCCTCTGACAGCTTCGTAACATGTTACAAAGGCACTAAAACTAGGCTTCGTAAATGTTCATCGGGTTGCTAAATTCGAATTCAGCTCCAAAAACTGGCCTAGAAACATGTAAAACTCGAAAAAGTGAACCGAGGTCATCAAAGGTCACTGACCTGACCTGACCTTCAGGTGACCTTGACATCCACCCTAATGCATGGGAGCAACATCAAATCACATGTTTGAACGTTTGAAAGCACGAAAAGCTTGCAAAAGCGCGGCTAATGCGAGTCGACATACGCCGAATCGTGATTCCGGCCAAACATGGTCTCGGAAAGTAGGTCACAGGTCAAAGGTCATTTGAGTCAGGGTCATGAAATTTTCAGGTTAGGTGTAAAATTGATAAATGCGAGGGTACTGAAAGTTTCGTTGCAATCGGCAGCTTTTTACGCGAGTTATTCGCGAAAAAACCTTAGGGGGGTTGCATCAACCCCCCCCCCCTGTATCGGCGAGGGTCGGCGAGGGTTAAAATTGGGTATCATCGGCTTCCTTTCATCACGGGCAACACGGTCGTTTTTTCCACGAAGCTCTAGCTCGAGCAGGGTCGAAACGGCAAGAAGGAAGGTCCAACGGACCCCCCCCCCCCCCCCATATACGTTCGCAGCTGGAAAATACCAATACGGGCGAGGGTTGATGGATTATTAGAGACAATTTTCCAGGTTGCCCCCCCAGTCAAATTCCCTTAAAATAGGCTCTGTGCAGTGAAAATAATTTAGAGATTTCCTGACTTGTTTTTGTTGCCTTATTTTAAAGTATTACCTTTTAATGCTTATCATTTGCTTTGAGAAAGTTTGAAGCATTTGTTTGATGATTCCCTCAATTCGGTACCTAGTCGGTATTTCACCCTATTTCTGAAAATCGGTTCGGTTTTGGTATACTCTCAGTGGTTTTGGTCGGTATCGGTTTGGTATTGGTTTCCAAAATTTCTGAAATTGACATCACTAGTCTGTTGGTCTGTGGGTCTGGGTCTATTGGTCTAACGCCGTGGGTCTGGGTCTGTTGGTCTGGGTCTGTTGGTCTTAGTGTGTTGGTTTGGACCTCGGTCTGTTCGTTTTGGTCTGCTGGTGTGGGTCTGCTGACCCGCTGTGTCCACTGCCCACAGGGATCGTGGGTCTGGGCCGGATCGGCCAGGGCGTGGCCGCTCGTCTGAGGCCGTTCAACGTCAGCACCATCCTGTACACGGGCAGGACGGAGCGGCCAGAGGGTACGAACGGGACGGGGGACGGGACGTCAGCACCATCCTGTACACGGGCAGGACGGAGCGGCCAGAGGGTACGAACGGGACGGGGGACGGGACGTCAGCACCATCCTGTACACGGGCAGGACGGAGCGGCCAGAGGGTACGAACGGGACGGGGGACGGGACGTCAGCACCATCCTGTACACGGGCAGGACGGAGCGGCCAGAGGGTACGAACGGGACGGGGGACGGGACGTCAGCACCATCCTGTACACGGGCAGGACGGAGCGGCCAGAGGGTACGAACGGGACGGGGGACGGGACGTCAGCACCATCCTGTACGCGTATTTACAAATTGCAACCGAGCTCCGCCGTAGGGTATTTTATTTCCGCCGTAGTGTATTTCACTTGGGGGGTTTTCTACCATACATCTGCCTAAGCTTAGGGTAATTACAATTTGTGGGCGACGTTCAAAAATGATGCACCTTTTTTTCGCAGTATAGGATATCGCATGTGCATATTTCTGCCTTTTTGGGTGCGCTTTATCGGTTTTTCGTGAGTAACTCGCGTAAAAACCGTCCGATCGCGACGAAACTTTCAGTACCCCGATTTTATCAATTTTACACCTACCCTGAAAATTTCATGACCCTGACCCAAATGACCTTTGATCTGTGACCTATTTCTCGAGACCATGTTTGGCCCGAATCGCGATTCGGCGTATGTCGGCTCGCATTAGCCGCGCGGTTGCAGTCTTCACGTGGTTTCAAGCGTTGAAACATGTGATATGATGCTGGTCCCATGCATTAGGGTGGGTGTCAAGGTCACCTGAAGGTCAGGTCAGCTCAATGACCTTTGATGACCTCGGTTCACTTTTTCGAGTTTTACATGTTTCTAGGCTAGTTTTTGGAGCTGAGTTCGAATTTAGCAATCATTTGAACATCACAGGGGGTGTAACGAAATTATCCGGACACCTTTCTTCCCGCTGTAAAAACAAAACAATCTGGTACCTTTTCTTTGAACTGAGATTGTAGCCACCTTTCATAAAAAACACAGTTTACTCACCTCGTTTACTCACCTCGTTGGTTTCTGCATATCTTTGGAGTGGTTTCAAAGGACAGTCAGAGAGGAAATGAGGAAACCACACAGTGGCGAATGTTCTGGAGCATTTCAGCCAATGGATTCTCCAGCACACTGGCTTTGATGCGGACCAATGCCGTCTAAACCTGTGCCTGCGGTTGAGCAGTGCTTATGGCGGGTCATGGCGGGTGGCTCTTCATACACCTGCTAAACAAGAGCCCACAGGTTTTCGATTGAATTGGGATCGCGACTTTTTCCAAGTCATAAGCGTTAGCCCAGAATGATTGAAGGTTCTATCGGCATCACTTCCCGTTCTTTTAGGGACTTTAAATAGCGCGCCGCCACGCATGAAGACAGCGTGGCTTGAATCAGGCATCAGTGCGCGTTCAGAAACCATGCCCTCCTATGCCGGCTGGTTGAGCGCCCCCAATCATGCTCCACCACCTTCCCTGGAAAAGCTCCACCCTTGCCTATGGGGCAAAATATAAGGGACAAAAACACAAAACAAGACAGATAAAAACAAAGCAAAATTAACTCATTACCTAATGAAATTCAGGCTGGAGCAAAAACATAGGTAATAGATATCTATGTCAAATTAGAATGAAAGATTAAAATCAACCTGACCAACCCTTACGGTCTGACCGGGTCCTAACCACCTGACCTTACTTCGCCTAACTTGACCCAATTCAACCTAGCCTACCACAACACCTGCAGAGGTACCTTCCTGGAAAAATGACGCCCAGGGAGATGACTGTCCAACTTATTGGAATACTACCATAATTGCTTGTCAAAATGTGTGTCATCATGCTCTTGTTTGACAAGTGATGTATAATAAATGTGATATTTAATAATTATCTCCTGACTATTGACTGTTGAGTGATCAAAATATTCAAATAATCAGGGTACAATCCTGTGCATAGTGCACACTAATCATTGTTATGTTTTGGTTCGTTTCGAGTGAAAGAGCACACAATCAATGGAAAACGCGATTTATTGTACTGCGATACGTTCAGGCCGAAAGAGTGTCCAAAAGAGAAACAAGTATGGCGAGCGCCGCGCCTCGTCGCCCGCGCCAGTCTCGCCGCTCGGCGCGCACCGTCAGCTGGCGGCGGCAGAGGCGCTCACAGGCACGGAGCCGGGGCGGCCAGCGGTGGCGGCGGCAGGGGCGCGCGCAGGCGCGGCCAGCAGCCGTGCGGGGGTTGGACCATAACACAACAATCATGTTGTTTTTGTGTAGGCCCCCTGCACATTGTTGTGTGCACTGCTATGTGCACCTTAAGTAAAAAAGTGACTGGTGGTACATGACAAAAGGTTGAGCAATTGTGAAGTTCATGCCCTTGGTCTTGCTGGTGCCAAATGCCTATAGCTATATAGATCAGTGAGGGTTGTAGACATGCTACATACATTGTGCATTTAAGATATTGGCACAAAGTTCATCCGTAATTACTATGCTTAACACCTTATGTAAGAAGCGACATAAATGCCCAGATGATAAAGCTCTCTGGTCAACATCACACAAATTTATTGACAAACTTTGCAGGAACATATTTACATCCATGGCAAATACTTTCGAGTTGATTCAGAAACTAGTTGCTAGTAAGCTTGCATTTTTGTAGGTACAACAACGGCCATATATTAAATCATAAAAACCTTCTCATGGCATTCATCACATACCCTTTTACTGAACAAGTACCTTATACCTAGCTACCCTGCAATGATTCTAAAATTTGTCCGCAATCCATCTATATCTCAACTGACACAATGAATTTCAAATACCCTAACAAAACCTATAACTGTACATAAGAAGAATGCAATACTACAAGAATTATGAATTTCTGAAGTTATTCTCACATGCTGGAATGTTGAAACTCTACTTTTGTCGTCCATTTCCATGTTTGATTGAGCCATCATATAGAACTGTTTTCGTTCTTCAGTCACAAGCTTTCCCACAAATCTTGAATTTTTACACATCATCTTGAACCATGCTCCAGTCTTTCCAACAAGGTACTATGTAACATCAAAGCAATTTTGATTTGTTACAACCGCTTCAGATCATGATAGGCTTGAACCAGGTAAGATAACCAGGTAAGGTTTGTTACACCATTTGCCAGACAAATCTCTACAAAATGTGTATCAATTTCCAAACTAAGTAATTGATCATATCAGTATTTGCAGTTTCCACACAATGTTTCATAATACTATTCTATGTTTATATAAATAAACTCAAATAATCCACAAATTGCTATTGAAACACTCCCACTTCAAGAATTCACAGCAATAACAGTAGAAGTTCAGAAGCAAACAAACATTGCGCTACATTTCGTATGAAACGCGCCATCGTCCTGAAGTTTCTACCACAGACGGTAGTTCAACCGCAGCCGTAGTGCGAAAACCCCTGCCCACCTTACCCCACGGCGGAGCTCGGTTGCAATTTGTAAATACGCATCCTGTACACGGGCAGGACGGAGCGGCCAGAGGGTACGAACGGGACGGGGGACGGGACGTCAGCACCATCCTGTACACGGGCAGGACGGAGCGGCCAGAGGGTACGAACGGGACGGGGGACGGGCACAGTGCCACTGACCTCCAGCAGGTACTCTGACCTCTCTATAGATACTAGCACTGACCTCTACCTTGGGATCTAACATTTCTATGGTTACTTGTTGACCTTTGATCTTTGATTTCTATCCTCCAAAACTCTAACACTTCGCCTAGATGAAGTCGCCACTCTAACACAGTGGCGATCTTTGTACCCCGTTGTTGACCTCAGTTTTCTGTGTTGCCTCCATGGTGACTTCTGACCTATTTGGTGACTTCTGACCTCTGACCTCTGGTAGCCTCTGTGAGGACCTCTAACTTCTGTGGTGACCTGACCTCCGTGGTGACCTGACCTCCGTGGTGACCTGACCTCTGTGGTGACCTCTGACCTCTGTGGTAACATCTGTGGTGACCTTTGACCTCAGCTTTGAGTTCTGACCTCTGTGGTAACCTCGTCTCAGACCTCGGGTTTGACCTCTGACCTTTTTGGTGACCTCTGACCTCAAGTTTGACTTCTGACATCTGGGCTGACCTCTGACCTCTGACCACTGATCTAGGACCACTGACCTCTGCGCTCTGACCTCTGCGGTGACCTCTGCGCCGCAGCCGCTGCCCTGGGCGCGCAGTTGGTCTTAGACCTCAGGTTTGACCTGTGACCCCTGCGGTGACCTCTGCGGTGACCTCTGCGCCGCAGCCGCTGCCCTGGGCGCCCAGTTTGTGCCGTTCGACGAGCTGCTGGCGCGCTCCGACTTTGTGATCGTCACCTGCGCGCTCAACGATGACACCAGAGGCCTGTTTAACGAGGCCGCCTTCGGCAAGATGAAGTCGAACGCCGTGCTTATCAACGCCAGCCGCGGAGGTGGGGGCAGGGGGCAGGGGGCAGTACCGAGGGATTCGGGGTACCGGAGGTAAAGGGGGACGGTAACAGGGCAGGCACTCCCCCTCGGCTCGGCTGCAGAGTGCAATGGGCTTGTCTGATGGTCACTCATATATCTTGGAAAATACCGGACTGAGTGTCATAGTTACTGGTATGCTCTCAATCACCCCGACTTTGTATGCGCCCAGTCGCTTCCAGGTTTCGGTTGTGTACGTTGCATGCGATGTTACCAGTGGAGGCTATCGTCCCGCCCTGTCCCGTGATGACGCCGGTGATGACGCCGGTGATGACGCCGGTGATAACCCCCGGCAGGCACCGTGGACCAGGAGGCGCTGGCGGCTGCTCTCCGCTCCGGCCGGATCCAGGCAGCTGGCCTGGATGTGATGACGCCCGAGCCGCTGCCGCCCACCCACCCTCTGGCCAACATGACCAACTGCAGTGAGTATAACGTGACCAACTGCAGTGAGTATAACGTGACCAACTGCAGCCAGTGTAACGTGAGACCAACTGCAGTGAGTATAACGTGACCAACTGCGGTGAGTATAACGTGACCAACTGCGGTGAGTATAACGTGACCAACTGCAGTCAGATTAACTGCAATGAATGTCCAACTGCAGTGAGTAGGAGCAGCTGCAGTGAGTGTGACCGACTGCAGTCAGACCAGCTGCAGTGAGTGTGACCAGCTGCAATGAGTGTGACCGCCTGCAATGAGTCTACCAACTGCAATGAGTCTACCAACTGCACTCAGTATACCGTGACCAGCTGCGGTCATTATACCCCGAGCTGCAATCAGAATAACGTGACCAAGTATAACATGAACCGCTCTCGCCCGTTTCAGCTCTGTACGGCGGCACTGACCCCCCCCCCCCGTCCCGCTCCGTTTCAGCGCTGACGCCGCACGTGGGCAGCGCCACGGTCAAGTCGCGCACCGACATGGCCACGCTGACGGCGCGCAACATCCTGACCGGCCTGGACGGAGCGCAGATGCCGGCGCGCCTCTGCTAGCAGCCCGGATGGCGCCTCTGAGGGCTCTGCTAGTAGCTCCGCGGGCCCTGCTGGCGCCTCCGCGGGCTCTGCTAGCAGCTCCACCGACAGGCGGCGCTGTCCCGTGTGTGCTGCGCGCCGACTGGTGCCGCCGTCTGCTCAGGGGGCGCCGCCGTCCGTACAGGGGGCGCCGCCGTCCGTACAGGGGGCGCTGCCGTCCGTACAGGGGGCGCCGCCGTCCGTACAGGGGCGCCGCCGTCCGTACAGGGGCGCCGCCGTCCGTACAGGGGCGCCGCCGTCCGTACAGGGGGCGCCTCCACAGACACTGCTCACTGCTCAGGCCCTCTAGGGGTGGTGGCTGGGCGGCTGTAACCGGCAACTGGCGACCAAAACCGGCCAGTATCCGACACTCACGGGAGCCAGACCAGTACCGGAACCCGTACGGGAGCCGTACCGGAACCCGTACGGGAGCCGTACCGGAACCCGTACGGGAGCCGTACCGGAACCCGTATGGGAGCCGTACCGGAACCCGTATGGGAGCCGTACCGGAACCCGTGCGGGAGCCGTACCGGAACCCGTATGGGAGCCGTACCGGAACCCGTACGGGAGCCGTATTGGAGCCGTACGGGAGCCGTATTGGAGCCGTACGGGAGCCGTATTGGAGCCGTGTAGGAGTGAGCGGCCTCATCCTGTGGATGAGTTGGGGATGTTACAGGGTGTGAGAATGGCGTGTAGGGGTGTAATGCGGCTCTATAGCCAGTAACAACGGCGAGGCAGCCCGAGATGAACCGAAAGTAAGATTTCATGTAACTGATTTTAATACACGCCCGTGACTGAGATTTACATGAGATTTAGATTAGAGATTTATCCGTTTGATACGCGCTCTCCGCCTGAATGGCGATATGAAAAGCCGTCAGTGTTGACTCCTTCACGACTCTCAAAGGGTATTTCAACAATATAGGGGAAGTTAGGGGAACGCCGAATACTTTTTTCTGACGCCCGTAGCACGCAAGGTAGACAACATAAGCTATTCTTGTTGGCGTCATTCGAGAGGCCAGTCTTTTGCCTTTCAAACATACCAGGCACATTTGATGAATTCGCATACCGTTAAGCGCACAAACTAAAAATATCAAAGAAGTGACTTTTTCGGCGTTGCCCCGGACTGCGGGGAAAGCCGAAAATGGGAGAAATGATCTACGGAAATGCCGAAATTGATGTTTTGCTATTTTATCTCAAATTTTATCCAGAATTCGTCAAAGCTGACACGCGTTTTAAGAGCTTAAGGACGCTTGGTGCACACTGGAAGTTATAATTGTGTGATATAATAAGAAAAGGCCAGGTAAATCATTCCTTATGGTAACAGGCCGTTGTGTCGGTTAAAAGTGTAATTTGTGTGACTAAAAATACGCGTTGCTATTCTACAGCGGTAAAGTTCACGTAGCGTGCTTTAACGCGCGTAATTGCACGTTTTCGGCATTACCCCAGCCAGCCATACTTTCATTTGCAGGCCCATAACTTTTCAACGTGCTGTATAAATTTCAAATAGGCAGCACACTTATGCAAAGACGTGCTGAAGATTACTTGACCGAATTGGCCAGACAAACGGTACCATAATGAGTAGGAAATGCAGCTTCGAAGACGCATGTAGTACAAAGGAAACGTACCTTGAAAACGCTCTTGGCGCCCTCACAGCCGAAGTATTCCGAATGACGACTGGTAATAAACATGCGATAATTGGTAGTCACTTAAGCTTCAGAGCATCACTGACAGGTGGCATCCATGTCGTACGGTTTTCGAAATATCTCGAATTTCGGCTTTGCCCCAACTCCGGCATTGCCCCAACTTCCCCTAAGCATTATAAACATTGGTCATAATATAAACAAACATTGGTCATTTGTTATATGCCCCATCTTTGGGAAACGAAGGGCTCCCAAAACACAGAACAAGTCCTAGATATAAAAACAGTTCAGTGCATTTCAGAGGTAAGCCGTATGTATTCCATGAAAGTATTGGCTGAGAATCGCTATCGGACACTGGGCCTGCAGTGGCCACGGACAGCTCGTGTCGTACTTTACCCGTGTCCCGTGTACCCGTGTACGTTTCCCGTGTCATTGGCGTCTGATCCGCCGTACCGTAACATTTCTACGTCGTCTTCCCCCAGTCCCGCTGAGCAGTTCGCACTGTCAGCTCACACTCTCAGCTCACTCACAGCTCGCTCTCTCAGCTCACACTGTCAGCTCACACTCTCAGCTCACTGACAGCTCGCTCTCCACAGGCACACAGCAGGTCGGCGGCAATAACCGTGTATTACACACAGAGAGCGGCGTATTACACACAGCGAGCGGTGTATTATACACAGAGAGCGGTGTATTACACACAGAGCGGTGTATTATACACAGAGAGCCGCGGTGTATTACACACAGAGAGCGGTGTATTATACACAGAGAGCGGTGTATTACACATTAAGAGCGGTGTATTATACACAGAGAGCGCCGGACGTTCAGTGGGGTGCGGCCGGCTGGACAGAAGTGCGGACTGTGTGAGCGGCTGTCCCCCCACCAATGTACTGGTTTAGCCATACGCCCACTCTGTATACCGGTATATACAGAGGTCTATGTTTAGCTCACACACCGGTAGGACGTGGTTCGATTCTGTACACTACAGCTGTAGTAGAACTATCACTACGGTAGAACTATCACTACGTTATCACTACATCACTACGAACTATCACTACGTTATGTATACTACTGCTACTCTTTGCTGTGCTGTCTAGGCTACCGAGCTAACTAAGGCAAACGCTGCATACGACATACAGATGTAAAAAATAACACAATACACGATAAACATTAGCACGCTTTCTTAGCCAAGTAATTCAGGAAGATAATCCTGTGCAAAAGCGGAGATCCAGAAGTGCAGCGAAGTGGGCACCCATACGTTTCGGCCTCAGCCCTCAGTTCAGCTTGATAATTACCCGGGGTAGTTTCCTCCACACAGTTCCACACACAGTCGGCGCCTCTCGTCCACTCTCCGTGGTCCACTCACACAGGTACAGACAGTTGGACGCGCGCACATAACACACGTCTGACTAGGATAAAGCTCTGCAATTCTGCTCTCTTTGGTGCGGAGATCGGGTCTATTGGAACCAGTCCCAGAGTCTGGGGTCCAGTTCAGGGTCCAGTCCAGTCCGGGTCCGCGGTGCCACATCCACCGACACGGGTGTCTCAGGTTATGGCAGTGGTGGTCATGTCTTCGATCAGTCAGGTCAGGTCAGGTATGGAAGCACGAAATCGCGCAGCGCAAACCATTTGCTCCTGGCAGGTGCTGGCCGGGTGTGCAACTGCAGCCCCCACCTGACAGATATAAAAGAGCCCACGTGTTTCCCTCGCCACACAGCGGTCACACGGGCAGACCGTCTGACCGCTGACCGCTGACCGCTGACCACTGACCGCTGACCGCTGACCGCTAACCACTGACCGCTGACCACTGACCGCTGACCAGAGATCGCTGACCGCTGACCGCTGACCACTGACCGCTGACCCAGCTTGGCGCCTCCCCGGGAAATCGGGCGACTTCCTGGCGATTTTCGGCTGACTCCCGGGGTATTCCCGGCCGACTCCCGGGCGATTCCCCGCTGACTCCCGGGGTATTTCCGGCCGACTCCCGGGGTATTCCCGGCCGACTCCCGGGGTATTTCCGGCCGACTCCCGGAGTATTTCCGACCGACTCCCAGCTGATTTCCGGTCGACTCTCGGGGTATTTCCGGCCGACTCCCGGGGTATTTCCGGTCGACTCCCGGGGTATTCCCGGCCGACTCCCGGGGTATTCCCGGCCGACTCCCACGACAGAGAGACACAACACGTACACGGACACACACGCACACAAACCCGCTTTAAAAGTTCTCAACCCGTCTCACAGTTCATGCCTCCGCGAACACGTGGCGTGCGCAAAGTCGATAGCTCGGCAATAAGGCCGATTTTGATTGGACAGTGGCACACAGCAGCGCCCCCCCCCCCCCCAGCCGGTGTCCCGGAGAGGGGGGGGGGGCTGTGCGGACCTCAGGGATGGCAGTGACGTATCTCAGAGAGGACGCTCTGACTCTGTCCGCGGCACACTCAAACTCAACTCAACACTCGACACATCGAGTGGCGCCGCCAGACCGGCAGTCGCCGCCGGCGGCGCCTGACCTCGGCTGACCCGCAGTGACCCCAGCTGACCCGCAGTGACCCCAACTGACCCTCAGCGATCTCAGATGACCCGCAGTGACCCCAGCTGACCTCGGCGATCTCAGATGACCCGCCGTGACCTCAGCTAAGTCAGAGATCTCAGATGCCCAGCAGCGAACTCAGATGACCAGTGCAGTGACCTCAGATGACCCGCAGTCGATGCCCCTATTGCAGTGACCGGAGCTGACCCGCAGCTGACCGCTGACCGCTGACCGCTGACCGCTGACCGCTGACCGCTGACCGCTGACAGCCGGTGTCGGTCAGCGCATGTTGCTCTGTATCCAGTCCATGTACTGCGAGACGCGTGTGTAGACTCCCGGCTTGTTCGCCTGCGCACACGAGTCGCCCCACGAGACCACGCCCACCAGCTGGAACCGACCTGCGGAACGGCCAATCAGCAGTCAGTACCGCGGCACTGGGAGGGGCTGACCTGCGGAACCAGCCAACCAGCAGTCAGTACCGCGGCACTGGGAGGGGCTGACCTGCGGAACGGCCAATCAGGGGGCAGCCCGCAGTGACGCAGGTGGAGTACGACCTAAGCAGGCTCCACGAGGATAACCGTCGTATCGAGATTGTGCTGAGTTGACGTACCGTACCAGGGACCGCAATGCATATAATGTTTTTGGGCAATGAATAAACTGCTTGGAAGCTCTGAGCTCACCGATGCAGTGCACGGGAATTCCTTCAAATTGGCCAATTAGGTACGCCGATTCGGTACGGGAGTAACCTGTCTTGTTCTCACGTACCATTTAACTGTCGGGGTATAAAGTAACGTTAGTAAAGTGTCGTGGTCTCAGGTACCGCCTATAAACTGTCGTGGTCTCACGTACCGTCTATCTCTATAGGCTGGCGAGTGGCGGGGCTTTTGTACCGTCCATATATACCGTGTATACTGTACATATAAGCTGTCGGGGTCTTACGTACCGTCAATTTTGCAGGCCAGCGGTCCGCCACTGTCACCCTTACAGGCGTCCACTCCGCCGCGCAGGTACCCGGCGCACATCATTCCTGGAGGGAGAGGAGAGAGTCAGAGACCCAGGTACTCGGCGCACATTACTATCGCCCCCTCCCGCCAACATCAGGGGGAGAGCCAGAGACGGCAGCCACGGAAAAAACCATCCGGGACTAGGCAGAGGCAGAGAGCGAGTGTAGCAAAGCGGCCCAGCGAATGTCGGAGCTTAAGTGAAGATTGTTCCAGATCTCTGTTAGTTTCCCAGCCGCACCCGCTCGGGCCCCTTTAGGTTCCTCGGGCCCTAGCTCTGGCCACCGGGACCTCCCGGGTCCCCGGCACCCAGCTCCGCCCCCCCCCCCCCCCCCCGCCTCCCCCGCGCCCAGCTCCGCGGCCTCCCGGGTCCCCAGCGGTCCCCGGCACCCAGCTGGCGGCCCACCCACCGTCTCCGCTGAAGTGTTTCTTGGTGCCGTAGACGGCGTCCGAAGCGCACTCCTTTTCGGCTATGATGCTGACCATGGCGGCCCGCAGCGAGGTCGACAGGCTGGCGTCGTCGTTAGCTGGGGAGCGGGTCCGCGTCAGTAGGTGCCAGGTGGGCAATGGACCACCGGGGCACCACAAAACAACGCCGTGTGTCGTAATTGAGTACCGGTTGTTATTGAACAGCTGTAACTGATGGTTGAGTTAGTCTCTCGTTATAACTTAAAACGTTCAGTACCTATGATTTTACTTCTGGTTTTTACAGTAGTTTCGGCAAGCTAAGCAGCAGTTCCCCACCCCTAGCTGATTAGACCCCCCGCTTCTGGTCCATCAGTTCAGTGCTCCCCACTCACAGTCCAGTGTTCCCCCGCTCACAGTCCAGCGATCCCCCACTCACAGTCCAGTGCTCCCCACTCACAGTCCAGTGTTCCCCCGCTCACAGTCCAGCGATCCCCCACTCACAGTCCAGTGTTCCCCGCTCACAGTCCAGTGTTCCCCCGCTCACAGTCCAGCGATCCCCCACTCACAGTCCAGTGTTCCCCGCTCACAGTCCAGTGTTCCCCCACTCACAGTCCAGTGTTCCCCACTCCTGGTCCGTCAGTCCAGCGATCCCCCACTCACAGTCCAGTGTTCCCCCACTTACAGTCCGGTGTTCCCCACTCCTGGTCCGTCAGTCCAGCGATCCCCCACTCACAGTCCAGTGTTCCCCCACTCCGGGTCCAGTGTTCCCCACTCCCGGTCCAGTGTTCCCCCACTCACAGTCCAATGTTCCCCCGCTCACAGTCCAGTGTTCCTCCACTCCTGGTCCGTCAGTCCATGTCCCCCACTCCTGGTCCGTCAGTCCAGTGTTCCCCACCCCCAGTCCAGTGTTCCCCCGCTCACAGTCCAGCGTTCCCCCACTCACGGTCCAGCGTTCCCCCACTCCCAGTCCAGTGCTCCCCCACTCACGGTCCATGAGTCCCCAGCCGGTGACGACACACTCGGTTCCCGGCCGCGGCACGCTCGCCTCCGGCAGACACACCGGCCGCGTCTTCTCGTTGTAGGTCGACTGCTTCCGCAGGTTGGGCCGCAGCTTCAGCAGGGCGATGTCGTGCTTCTTGGTCGCTGCAATCACACGCCCGGGTCAGCCGGGACCGCCTGCCGATCGGCACGACAGCGTGCAGCGCGAAAGCCTATGTTTCACCTGTGTAACTAATTTGACACGCCGGGAACTGCGATGTGACCGTTGAGGCGGCCATCTCGTAGATCAGGCGTCAACGTAACGGTCCAGAGAGCCTCAGCCCCGCACACGTGGGCCACTGCGACCGATTCGGACGGCGCTCTGGTCTAGTAACTGTGAGGGCCAGTGCAGGAGGTGGTCAGCAGAGACACCTGGGATCTGAGGGTGGCGGACTCTCCAGTTCAGGACTGAGCAGGGTGGCGGACTGCCCAGTCCGGACCGGCCGGAGGGTGGCGGACTGCCCAGTCCGGACCGGCCGGAGGGTGTCGACGGCTTCTCACCTCGGTTGTAGCCCGGGTGGACGAGGATCTTCTCGATGAAGAAGGTCGACTCGAGCGGGTCGAGGTTGGCCAGGTCGTGGTCCCCCAGGATGACCATGTAGTCGTCCTTGCTGCAGAACGAGGAGGCTCGGTCAGCGCGCTCGGCGACAGTGCAGGAGGCACAGGAGGGGGCTCCGGCGCCGGCGCCGTCCGACTCTCCACACACCATGCGGCGCCACAGAGCGTCACAGGGCGGCCAACTGGCCGGCGCCGCTATCGCCGAGCTCCGCATTACGCCGGATCGAAATACACATGAACGAAAAATAAAATTTACTTTACTGTTACGATGAATTTCACTCAGGGGGTTATGGAAAACAGTATAGGGTTCCGACTTCCGCAGCCGGAGTCGTCTCGTCTACTGAGGCGGGGGCGGGGGCGGGGGACGGGGCGGGGGTGTCTGCCGCATCCGCTCCCGCCCGCCGCTCTGCGCAGGGGAGTACCGACTTTTGTGACCAGTCCCAGTGGGGGTACTGACTTGTGCGTGACCACGCAGTGCGCGGCGGTGAGGATGTACTGCTGAGAGATGACGGCGCCGCCGCACTGGTGGGTCCGGTAGCCGTCCTGCAGAACCTTGATCTCCGCCTGCCGACACACCGTGCGGACGGTCAGCTACCAGACTCACTATGCACTACACACTACACAGTCAGACGGACAGACGGGTTAGTTAGCCAGACGGACCAACAGATGGTATCATGGTAAGACGGCGAGAAAAGCGGTCAGGTGGATAGACGAATAGCTAAACAGATGGTAAAACGGTTATGAAACCGGCACTGACCCGCCATTGACCTGCCACTAACCTGACCTAACCTTATCTGAGCCGCCACCGACCCAACATTGACTAGACGTTGACCCGATCTGACCAGCCACTGACCCGCCACTGACCCAGCCCGCCACTGATCTGCCACTGACCTGACCTGACCCGCCACTGGCCTTACCTGACCCACCACTGACTCAGCACGGACCTGACCTGACTCGCCAATAATCCACCACTGACTCGTCACTGACCTCCCAATGAGCTGACCTGATCTGACCTGCCCGGCCACTGACCTGCCAGGGGAAGGCGCCGTAGGCCACTGACCTGCCAGGGGAAGGCGCCGTAGGGCACCTCGCTGCCGCCTACGATCCGGGTGGTGGCCACCAGTTTCCGCGGCGGCATGTAGAAGACGGGCTGGCTGCCGCAGCGGCCGCCGCCGGCCGACTTGGTCAGCCCGGGCGCCATCATATGGCCCGCCTGGCGACGGCGCCTGCAGCCACAGGGCACCGGTCAGAGAGCTGCCACAGGTCAGAGCGGTCAGTGCTGCCAGCCTGCCACAGGTCAGAGCGGTCTCAGGTCAGAGCGGTCAGAGCGGTCACAGGTCAGCGGTCGCCGGTCAGAGCTGTCACAAGTCACCGTCCAGAGCTGATTTGAGGGTGGACGGCACGGACCGTGGGGACCCGTTGGCGGCCGGAGAGCCGGCCGGGAGGGGCAGTCCGTGCCAGAGGCGGATCCAGCTCAGAGTTTTTTTTTTTTGGGGGGGGGGGCAAACCATAACAATTTATCGATTCTTTCCATGCATCGTCCATAGGCGTAATGTTAAAATTATGCCGTTTGGGGGGCAAATGCCCATTTTGCCCCCTGGATCCGCCACTGGTCCGTGCACCACGCAGCGCCGTGTTCGGCCGACGTGCCCTAGGTAGCACGTCTACGTACCGTCGTGTCCGTCCGGTGTGCGCCGCTTCAGAGCCGGGTGGCTGCTCAGAGGCCGCAGAGCTGTCCAGGAGGTCCAGGTACCGGGCCGACCGCGTCCCACTGGACTCTGAGGGGCAGGCACTGCTGTCAGAGGGGTCACTGGACTCTGAAGGGCAGACACTGCTGTCAGAGGGGTTACTGGACTCTGAGGGGCAGACACTGCTGTCAGAGGGGTCACTGGACTCTGAGGGACAGGACAGACACTGCTGTCAGAGGGGTCACTGGACTCTGAGGGAGACACTGCTGTCAGAAGGAGGGGTCATTGGACTCTGAGGGGCAGACACCACGGTCAGAGGGGTCACTGGACTCTGAGGGGCAGACACTGCTGTCAGGGGGAGAGGTCACTGGACTCTGAGGGACAGACACTGCTGTCAGAGGGGTCACTGGACTCTGAGGGACAGACACTGCTGTCAGGGGGAGAGGTCACTGGACTCTGAGGGACAGACACTGCTGTCAGAGGGGTCACTGGACTCTGAGGGACAGGCACGTTGAACACTACCAGTCGGCTGGTTCGGCTGGTGACGTCACGTTCTGACAGTGCCCCCCCCCCCCCGCCGGACGGTGCCCTATCCCCCCCCCCCCACCGGACGGTGCCCGCGGCCGGACTAAGTTCGTCCCTGAGGGCCGCCGGCCGATCGCCCCGAGTCCTCATTGGTGGAGCCGGCGGCGAGCCTCCGCTATCTGCACGCCGATTGGTGGAACCGGAGACGAGCCTCCGTTCTCTGCACGGTCATTGGTGGAGCCGGGGCTGCCTGACTGCATTGCTATGATGGACAGCTGAGACCGTAAGCTCAGTTATGGGGGAGGGGAGGGAGGAGGGTGGAAGGGCGGGGGGCTCTCACTCATTAGAAACACCCCCTCCCGTGGCGATAATTGTCTATAGGCTGAGCCGTCTTAGACGGAGCTGCCTGGTTATTGTAGCGATGGGGCCCCGTTCAGTAGTAGTACTTAGGATACTTGGTTCAGACAACGGAGGCAGCCTGTTCTCCAATTGTAGGTACACGGTACAGAGGCCAGCTTTACCAACAGAAAAATAGTCGCCTGCCGGAATTTTTTGCCTAAAGACCGCTTCACACACAGAGCGTAACCAGTAAAGCATCATCCGCTTACATGCCCATCGCGTTTAGGCTCCCTATGTGAAGCGGTCTTTAGGCAAAAAAAAAATCCGCCAGCCGTCAGGCGGCTATTTTTCTGTTGGTAAAGCTGGCCTCAGGTTATCCCATCCCAACTATACCTACATTGCTCAGCTCCCGCAGTGTATGTACGCTGACACACCGCGACGTCTCTGGCCGCCGTCTGCGCGGTGTCACGTGACTGGCTGCTCTGGGCCGCGGCTGTGTCACGTGATCGTCTGTGGTTGCTCTGTCTGTGCAGACCTGCAACATTGCAACTGCAGCCGGCCGGCCAGTAGCCGAACATACTGCACCCGGGGGCCGTGCACGCTGCACGCTGCACGCTGCACACTGCACGGTGCCGTCCCGGGGGGGGGGGGGGGGTACAGGCCGGACTCCGCCTGCCTTTTGGAGGAGGGAGGACGGCAGGTGGCTATCGTGCGATCAGGGGGAGAGGCCAGTATCTGTTTTGTCATTAGGGGCAGGGCACGGGCGGTGTTTCGGGTCTGCCGTTATCTTGTAACCAACAAATTCCTTGGATGTGGTTTTGTCCAAATTTATCGTGGCATAACCACAGAGTGGGACTGAAACAGCTGCTAGTGAGCGCAACAACAGAAAACGATCACCTCGATTTAAACCGTTAAATAACTAAAATGATCAGTAACCAACGAGCGAAGCGAGGACGCCGAATTCGACTTAGTTTGTCCTTATATTTCCCCTCGAAGAACGGAGCTCCCAGTTCCCACCATTAGATCAAATTAATTAGATTAAACCAATTAGATCAGAACCATTAAATTAGATCAACCCCATTAAATTAGACCCGTTGAATCAGACCCATTTAACCAGACTAACAGACCTATTAGGTAAATCCGACCAATTAATCAGACTTATTACATCGAGCAGTAATCGCCACGCACTTTCAGAATGTGGATCGCTCATGATTGTTCAATACAATACAATACAATACAATACAATACAGAGCCGTTAGATCAGATCCATTTGATCTGATCCATTAACTCAGACCCGTAATATCTTCAGTTTGTTTTGTTTTGTTTTGTTTTGTTTTGTTTTGTTTTGTTTTGTTTTGTTTTGTTTTGTTTTGTTTTGTTTTGTTTTGTTTTGTTTTGTTTTGTTTTGTTTTGTTTTATTGGAGGCTGGAGCCACTTTTTCTGCCAGAAAAGGCCATTACAGACAGACATACAGATATGTACGTACACATTTATGCATTGCTGCATGGATCCGAGAAAGTAGATCTCAGATCTCAGATCTGTGGATCTTGATCTGGGATACAATGGGATCCTAGCTCGCGCTCTTTTATATGTTTGGAGTGTAGTCATTGGGACCATAAACACTATTCTTTTTGTTTAGAAATCCGATAAGATCAGGATCAGCTCACTCACTTTTTGTCGGGTTTTGTGTCTCTCATTGACGTGAAATCATATGAAAACATGGCTTATAAACAGGTCGCATAAGCTGGGATCCAATCCACTCATATCATAGATCCCTGTTCTTGTTTTGTCGTCAGATCCTATGAGTAATGAGATCATACCTACACCTAAGATATATCTATTTTCTTAGTGGGATCCAAAGGGATCATATAGAGGACTCACCGTCCCTCGACCGATGGTCTGGTGGAGGCGCCGGCCCAGTATAGTGGGTGCCGGCCCAGGGCAGTGGGGGCCGGCCCAGGGCAGTGGGCGCCGACCCAGGGCAGTGGGTGCCGGCCCAGGACAGTGGGTGCCGGCCGCGCCGGTGCCCCGCCGTCTGCACCGCAGTGCCAGCCCAGTGTCACGTGACTCATCAGCCCCCGGCCCATCCGCGCAGTGTTGTAGCACGGCCGACCATGTGACCTTGCCGAGCCGGCAACTACTACCGGCCGGTGACGGGGTCGGCTGGAAGGGGTGGGGGAGGCGGGGGGGGGGGGGGGGGGGGGGTGCCGCGGCCTCATTAGCCCAGGGCCGGGCCGGGTCGGAGAGGGGGGAGGAGGGAGGGAGGGGGTAATGAGACACTGGCAGGTGATTTGGGCGGCTCATCGTTATCACCATCCTGAGCCCCGCTTACCCAGTATTGTTTTTTTTTGCATGCGCAAATCGCAAAGTACGTGCGCGAATTCGGTGCGCCGCAGTAGCTGTCCATAACTCTGCGCGGCGGCCGGGCGCCGCCGGGCGCCTGCTATTGCGGATGTGTGGATGCAGCGCGCGACACGAGTCTGCACCGCGAGAAGGGGTGGGGTGGGGACTGCACGCAGAGGATGGCAGTCACAGACAGTGGCGTGCCCTCAATACCAGGGAGATGGACGGGGAGGGACAGCAAGATGTCCCCCGTGACCGACGGCGGTATATGCTGGGCGCCGGCACTCGCACATAGGTTACACTGGGTGGGCAGTGGTGCGCTGGTCAGAGGTGCTGCTATACCCTGACCGGTGACCCTGGTCCATGACCCTGACCGCTGCCGTGCTGTCGAGGGCCACACCGGTCCGCTGTCGCGGCGTTCCCATCGATAAGACACGAAAGGGGCCACGCCGGGCCGGTCCGGGTGGCGCCGGGCCCGTGTCAGCTCCGGGGCCGGCTGCAGAGCGCGTCTGTGACTCTGTACGGAGACAGGTGTACCTATCGTCTGTCCGGAGACGGGTGTATCGTCTGTCCGGACTCGGAGACAGGTGCTGTGTCTGTCCTGAGATAGGACCGTGTTCCGCCCACCCTGGTGGCACGTGCCGGGATGGAGGACACGGGGAGGGGAGGACACGGGGAGGGAGGGGAGGGGTGGGGTCACTCACCGGCCGGAAGGGAGCGTCGGTACGAGGTCCAGCGGTCACCCAGGGCACTCCGCTCGCCCTCCGACGTGTGGATTTGACACCGGCTGTAGAGGCCGTGGTGGCTGAAGCCCTGGCAGCCCGGCGAGTTGTCGCACAGCTTGGCGCACTGGAACACAACACAGCGGTGACACGACACAACAGTGACACAACACAGCAGTGACGGGAACACCATACGGCAGTGAAACGACACAGCAGTGACCGGAACACAGCAGTGACTAGAACACGACACAATAGTGACCGGAACACAGCAGTGACCGGAACACGACGCAGCAGTGACACGACGCAGCAGTGGCCGGAACACGACACGGCACAGCAGTGGCGGGCTGGTAGTAGAGTTCTGCACGGCTGCAATTTTCCACAGCCTAGCCGCCCCGCAGCCGTGGCTCCACAGCCACAGCCGCCCACAGCCGTGGCAAACTGTGGGCAGCCAGCCGTCAGCCGGCCGTGGATACTTTCAATGAAATGCAACCAAATAGTATATAATAAGTTGTTTTTAGTTGAAACATATAGCCAAAAGCACATTGCAATGGGCTATAGATTCTCAAGCTCATGAAGCATCATAGGTTGTGTGGTTGTGGTTGTGGTTGTGGTTGTGTATCTGGCTTTAGGCCGAAGGCCTGAAGCCTGATGCGCATCGCATGCCTACACAAGCCCTTGCAAGGGGTTAAGAAAGATGGGTAGGTAGGTACCTACATCAACAGAAAACATAAACAACGAACCAGAATAGAAGCACTAGCAGTGTAGACATCTAATGCCAAATCCTGAAGCATGGTTGTGGGACAGAAAAACAGACCCTGATGCTTTTCATTATCAATGTTAGGTATGGAAAATGAAACTGAATTTGATGGACTGTCAAACAGTGATTGTCTAGTCAAAACTCTTGCTTCTTTCTTACCTTACATATTTTATGGGGTGTATATGCCAGGCTTGAAGCAGCCTTCTGAGCAAGTCTCAAATTAATTTGATATGCAAGGCATCAAAACACTAGTGAGCATCCAAGAAAGAAAAACATTCATCTATTTTGATTTTTCCAAATAATGATCTTCGCTCAAATCCCCAAGGACGTGCGAGCCACAATTGCCTCTTTCAATCAAAAATTTTACTTGAGTTTTTAATGACGTCAATAGCAAAGAAGTGGAAATTAATTGTTTTGTGTCACTATGAACAGCCATAAAAATTATAATTAATAAATAATAATGCTATACAGTTAAAAACTTGCTCTCAAACAAAGAATAATTATCAAATTTTTACATTTTCAGAAAAAGACGTCATTTTATCAGTAAAGTCAACAGCTCGCGTAAGAAATATTGTGTTCAGGGTTTTCACCGTCATATGAATTACGTGTTCAGGGTTTTCACTATCATGTGAATTATTAACCGTAAGTAAGGTTCATGCTCACTAATAATCTAATTCCATTGGCTTCGTTGATCAGCATTTTCTGTTAGCGGTCACTCACACACCAGTTAGAACATAAAGCGCCAGTTTTATATTATGTAATTGGACTTGCCGAAAATCCAGAAATACATCTAAGAGTTATTTTAGATAATATTTTATGAAGCCTTTACCTGCCTTTACGTAAGGCGTGATTTCTTTTTCTATTACCTGAAAGAATTATTGAACGCTCGTCTTCAATAGCTGTATAAGGTGCTCTCCTAATGACCAGGTGAGATTGATTTGAGAGGGATGTGACAATGCAACATGTTTGCATTTTCTGAAACTGTCAAGCTCTTGATGATGAAGGAACAATTGGTACCTATAATTAGTGTTCTGTACCAGAGTGCAAACTCCCCTACAGCAAATGGTAAAACCATTACAGGTTTTCAAAGGCTTCACCACTTTCAATGTTGCTGGGCATCCTTTGCATGATTTTTACAGGCAAGACTGCTTATCAGAATGTAAGATTAGGGATTTAAAATTTTTATATTTGGGTACTTAAGATTGAGCTTGAAATCTCACAGCCGTGGCCACAGCCGTAGCCGTGATCTTGGAGATATTTGCAGCCGCCCCGGCCCACAGCCGTGGGGCTGCAGCCAGCCGCGGCTGCAGCCGGCCGGTGCAGACCTCTAGCTGGTAGGCACGGCGCCGCGCTGATGAAACCCGCCTGGCAGGGGGCTGATCTGATTATCAGACAGACACAGATATGTTCTTTTGTTGCACGCATAGAGCGCCGTCCCGAGGGTCTATATCTTTTGCGGCACACCTGAATTTCCTCTTGCGTAGGTGCTAGAGAGAATCCAGTGTTGCCACTCGGTGGCTGGCAGGTCGACGCTGAGCTGTTCCTGAAATGGGCCGATTGTGCAACAGTGTCCGTGCAGTCCCGGCGGCCCGTTAATGAGATGGTGATCAGAGTCCGGTCCGGAGTCCCGGTCCGGAGCTGACCGCAGCCCGGTCCGGAACTCACCGCAGCCCGGTCCGGAACTGAGCGCAGCCCGGTCCGGAGCTGACCGCAGCCCGGTCCGCAACTCACCGCAGCCCGGTCCGGAGCTGACCACAGCTCGGTCCGGAGCTGACCGCAGCCCGGTCCGGAGCTGACCACAGCCCGGTCCGGAGCTGACCGCAACCCGGTCCGGAACTGACCGGTGCCCTGGCTCGGCTCCCTGTGAGTCGCCCGCGGCGCCGAGCCGCGGGCCGGCAGCTCAGCTCATCTGTCCATGTGTCGCCCCCAGCGGCTCATGTGTCGCCCCCTATCTGTCCACGTGTCGCCCTTCAGCTGCCCGCATGTCACCCTCAGCTGTCCACGTGTCGCCCTCAGCTGTCCATGTCTCCCTCAGCTGTATATGTGTTTCCCCTCCCCTTATCTGTTCATGTGTGGCCCCTCAGCTGCCCATGTGTCGCTCGCCCCTTAGCCGTCCATGTGTCGCCCCTCAGCTGTCTGCACTTGTCGCCCCTCAGCTGTCTGCACGTGTCGCCCCCTCACCGTAACTCACCGCTGCGGCGCTCATGGACATCCAGATGAGACCGGTGGACGCCAGAGCCTCGTCCGTCTTCGTGTAGAGCGGCAGCGCCTTATCTGAGAACCGACACCGGCCAGCCATCAGACAGATACCGAACAGCAGGCAAATATTGAACACACCGTGATGCCTTAAAAAAACAATCTACATACCAATATAAGCTCCCTCGATCCTCTACGGTAACTGAACTAGAAACAGTTGGTCGCTTATCACACGGTGTGTGTCCTAGAACGTGTTTTGGTGACCGGTCAGCCTGAGAGTGTGTCAAGCACCATGAGAGCCAGGGTCAGACAGCGGCACGGTCAGCAGATCCCCGCGCCACTCACCACAGTACTGTTCGTCCCAGCCGGAGGCGCAAGAGGTGATGCCGTCGCAGAAGGCCCTGGGCGAGACACACCTGAGAAAGGACCGGTACACGTGAGAAATAGGTACCCGAGGAAGGGCGGGGGCACGCGAGGCACACATAAGAAAGGTCAGGGCCCGTCCTGTCCCTCACATCACACCCCGTCCTGTCCCTCGCACCCCTCCTGTCCCTCACATCACACCCCTCCCGTCCTGTCCCTCACATCACACCCCTCCTGTCCCGTCCTGTCCCTCACATCACACCCCTCCCGTTCCGTCCTGCCCCTCACCGTGCTCGGTGGTGTTTCCGCAGAGGTAGGCCAGGGCGTCCCTCACACCCCTCCTGTCCTGTCCTCCCTCACACCCCTCCCGTCCCGTCGGCCGTCCCTCACCTGTGCTCGGTGGTGTTTCCGCAGAGGTAGGACAGGGCGTCCCTCACACCCCTCCCGTCCCGTCGGCCGTCCCTCACCTGTGTTCGGTGGTGTTTCCGCAGAGGTAGGACAGGGCGTCCCTCACACCCCTCCCGTCCTGTCCCTCACCTGTGCTCGGTGGTGTTTCCGCAGAGGTAGGAGAGGGCGTCCCGACACCGCTCCACGGCTCCGTCGTCGGCCGTCCCTCACCTGTGTTCGGTGGTGTTTCCGCAGAGGAAGGACAGGGCGTCCCTCACACCCCTCCCGTCCTGTCCCTCACCTGTGCTCGGTGGTGTTTCCGCAGAGGAAGGACAGGGCGTCCCTCACACCCCTCCCGTCCTGTCCCTCACCTGTGCTCGGTGGTGTTTCCGCAGAGGTAGGACAGGGCGTCCCTCACACCCCTCCCGTCCTGTCCCGTCCCTCACCTGTGCTCGGTGGTGTTTCCGCAGAGGTAGGAGAGGGCGTCCCGACACCGCTCCACGGCTCCGTCGTCGGCCGTCCCTCACCTGTGTTCGGTGGTGTTTCCGCAGAGGAAGGACAGGGCGTCCCTCACACCCCTCCCGTCCTGTCCCTCACCTGTGCTCGGTGGTGTTTCCGCAGAGGTAGGACAGGGCGTCCCTCACACCCCTCCCGTCCTGTCCCGTCCCTCACCTGTGTTCGGTGGTGTTTCCGCAGAGGTAGGAGAGGGCGTCCCTCACACCCCTCCTGTCCCATCCCTCACCTGTGCTCGGTGGTGTTTCCGCAGAGGTAGGAGAGGGCGTCCCGACACCGCTCCACGGCTCCGTCGTCGGCCGTCCCTCACCTGTGTTCGGTGGTGTTTCCGCAGAGGAAGGACAGGGCGTCCCTCACACCCCTCCTGTCCCGTCCCTCACCTGTGCTCGGTGGTGTTTCCGCAGAGGTAGGAGAGGGCGTCCCGACACCGCTCCACGGCTCCGTCGTCGGCCGTCCCTCACCTGTGCTCGGTGGTGTTTCCGCAGAGGTAGGAGAGGGTGTCCCGACACCGCTCCACGGCTCCGTCGTCGGCCTCACCTGTGCTCGGTGGTGTTTCCGCAGAGGTAGGAGAGGGCGTCCCGGCACCGCTCCACGGCTCCGTCGTCGGCCGTCCCTCACCTGTGTTCGGTGGTGTTTCCGCAGAGGAAGGACAGGGCGTCCCTCACACCCCTCCCGTCCTGTCCCTCACCTGTGTTCGGTGGTGTTTCCGCAGAGGTAGGACAGGGTGTCCCGACACCGCTCCTGTCCTGTCCCTCACCTGTGCTCGGTGGTGTTTCCGCAGAGGAAGGACAGGGCGTCCCTCACACCCCTCCCGTCCCGTCCCGTCCCTCACCTGTGCTCGGTGGTGTTTCCGCAGAGGTAGGACAGGGCGTCCCGACACCGCTCCTGTCCTGTCCCTCACCTGTGCTCGGTGGTGTTTCCGCAGAGGTAGGACAGGGCGTCCCTCACACCCCTCCCGTCCCGTCCCTCACCTGTGCTCGGTGGTGTTTCCGCAGAGGTAGGACAGGGCGTCCCTCACACACCTCCCGTCCCGTCCCTCACCTGTGTTCGGTGGTGTTTCCGCAGAGGTAGGACAGGGCGTCCCTCACACCCCTCCCGTCCCGTCCCTCACCTGTGCTCTGTGGTGTTTCCGCAGAGGTAGGAGAGGGCGTCCCGACACCGCTCCACGGCTCCGTCGTCGGCCCCGTACGTCACGAAGCGGGCGCGGCTGGCTTCGGCGGCCGTGATGCCTGACAAAAGAGACGCAGACTGAGCTCATCGCCCTGTACGGAGCCGTAGAACAGAGCTGGCACGCCCTGTACGGACATGTAGTGCATACCGCCAGCAGAGCTGCCAGCTGGCCCGCCCTGTACGGACCCGTAGCGGTATACGGAGCAGAGCTAGCACGCCCTGTACGGACCCGTAGCGGTAGGTATATGGAGCCGAGCTGCACGCCCTGTACGGAGCAGACAGAGCCACTGGTGTACGGAGCAGGACTGACACACGCACCGCACAACAGCCGGCGTCCAGCAGCGGCCGACTTCATAAAGCTTGGTAGCATTTTACATCAGAGAACGTTCTGTCGTTTAAAGCCTCATGGACGTTCCAGTCCTTCTCCTCCACGCCTGAACCCCCTGTTCCGGGCTGGACGGTCACCCTCCTCCCATGCCGAAATGGCCTACCCAAAAAAACATTAGAGCGTATTTTACACATTAAGAAACTACGCTATTTAACCCTATTCCTGGCGGGCTCCGCCGGGACAAGAAACTGGCGGGGGGGGGGGGGGGCCGATTCGGCCCCCCCTGAGATCTCGAGAACGAAGCAAGATAGCGACAAGCGGTAAACGGCATCGGATACGCACGGCCAAGATCTACAATTTTTACTAAGGTCATTTTCAGGTCAGGTCAAAGATGACGTCACAGGGGTCGAAAAAGTCAAAATGGCGGCGCTAGATATGGAGAGAGTTTTTCTCGAATAACTTTCGAATTAGTCAAGATAGGAACAAACTAAGGGCATCATCGTGATCCTCTCGTCAATCCGCATCGAATGATATATATGTTGACCTCGAAAGGTCAAGGTCAAAGGTTGACCTCAGGTCACGTGACCTCGAGGTCATCATGTATATCATTCGATGCGTCTTGACGAGCTGAACACAATGAGACCATCCACGCGTCTGTATCTTGTTCCTGTACGGAGTTATTGGCCAAAAACCTTTGGTGACCTTTGATGACGTCACATGACCTCACAGCTGCCCAACAGCAAAACAGACCTCAAGGTAGTGAAGGTTGATCGTATATGAAGTCATGTATGGTATATGGGGCCATTCCGACCCGTTTTAGTGGTAAAAACAGGGAGTTGATTTTTCCCCCATTGACTTATAATGGGGAGGTCGCGAAATTGACCTGACCTTAGGTCACCGATATCAAAATTCCGAGATATACAAATTGCACATACTGGTCTCCTAACTAAACCCTGAAGAGAAGAAATTGATCGGTCAAAAACTCTAGCTCTGGCGTGATTGCAAACTTTTCTGAGGTAGGGTCACCAAACCGCCTCTGGTGACCTGACCTGAGGTCAGATCAACTCAAAATTTTCAGACATGTTGCGTAGAAGCCTTTTAGGAAAAGTCAGAAAATTTGAGCTTCCTAGCTCAACGCGTTTGGGAGAAATAACCAAAAAACCTCAGGGGGGGCTCCTGAAGCCCCCCCGCCAGGAATAGGGTTAAAAGTGGCCGTGGTTTTATTTGGTTCGAAGAACGTCCAATATGCCAATTGTATGGCTTCGTTTGTTTTGGACTGTATTTTACCACAGCCACTACTCAACCCGCGCTGAGCGACGTTTTGACGACCCCGCAGGTTTTTACCAAATATCTATTTAAAAAAACGGCGGCGCGCAGCACCACCGTTTTTGGCACCCCTTCTTATATTTTCCCTGCACATGTAAAAATTCAGACCCTGGTCGTTCAAGGTCAGGTCAACAGGTCACGTCAAGCACCTAACCTTACCTTAGAAAAAGTTAAAAGGCTCGCCAAAGCTACATCGACTGGACGATCGTGTTGAAACTTTCAGTGATTGATAAAACTAACCGTACCTACCTATTTATGAACTGTACATATCTTGGAATTTTGATATATGTGACCTAAGATGGACAATTTTACGACACTTCCTAATAAGCCAATAGGAGACAAATTGAAATGCGCCTCTTTTGGACACAAGTCAAACTAAACACCCTCAAACATCGGATAACAGGCAAAAATGACACAATGAAACGTAAACTTGCACCTTTGACCCATCTAAATGGGTAAGCCCCAGAGGTTATCTCAGATCAAGTTGAAGGTCTCCAGCTTGTTTATTTTGCAATAGCATCTGTTGGAGATGAATCTATGTAGAGCGATGAAAACACCTTAGATGAGTTCAGCTCGACGATAAGGATCGACTGATAAACAGCGTGACCTTTCCGGTCAGACCATCATGACTTTGAGCTGAGGTCAAATTCATAAAATAGTCTTTAAACCCTCGCCGGTCGAGGGGGGGGGGGTGCCGCCCCCATAGGGGTTTTTCGCAATAGCTCCGAACACGCAGGCGATAGAGAGCTGACACTTGGCATACCAAACGCTGATTCAAGCTGAATCTTTTGAAACCAACTGCATTTTCGGGTCAGGTCAGGTCACTGACCTATGATGTCATAAGTGAACCTCTGCACGGTCTTCAGATGTCGCAACTTCGCAACGCCCTCACTGCCAAAGGAGCTTTCACAGGGAAATGAAACTTGCAAGATCTAGTATCCATTACGAGTCTAAAACTTGTATTTCTCAGATTTTTCCTTAAGGCCATATGAGGTCAGGTCATTTTCGTGACCTCACCATTAGGTATATGTAAGTCAATGGGGAAAAATGAAAACTGCTATTCTGGCAACGGGAACGATCTCCAACTATCTCAAGCGCAGGAAATCGTGATTTGATGCACTCCTTGCAAGGTTCAATGCATTGTAAAACCCGATTTATTGTATCATTTTGTTGCGATAAACCGGAATTTCAAAACATTTCAGGTTATTACATCATCTTATGATGCAATAAATTGAAATGTCAGGATTTAACGTGAAAGGTCGGGAAAAAAATTTACAGCGACATCTGAGAACGTTGTAATAAATCGGGTTTATTACCTCACGCGACTTGCACAGATTTTGAACAAAGTGGAAAGACGTCGCTGTTCTGATATGAAGAGCTACCATATTTGAAAATCACGATTTGAATATCCTGTTTATTTGAACATTTGCGCAGGGCATTTCCCTATATGGCCTCTTTCAGCTTAGGCCAAAGTGGCGCACAACCTGTTATGCAATGCAGCATGCATCTGCCATTTTGTATTTATATACACTGTGCCATTTTGCACCCATTTTGAAGTGAAGTTACTTCGATTACTTCGGAGGGTGTGGACGTGGAGTTGGTGTCAGTGTGGAGGTTATGTTGATGTTGCAGGTAAGTTTTAGGGTTTTCATTGTTGAATGTTGATTCAATCGCAATTCAACTTCGGAAAATATTAATAAATTTATGCAATATCCCCATGCAGACAGCCATCCTTTGCAAATTTACCCACCAAACTAAGCAACCAGATGCAATCAAATACCTACTGATTAAATGCTCCATAGAAACCAACTGAATTTAATATTTTAATTCAAACTAAGTAGGTATGCTAGTTAACAATTGAATGACTTTACCTTTGATGGTATTGGGCTGGGTCCAATGTTTTACATGATAATAATATCTGCATGATATGGGTACCTATTGGGTATTGATGTTTCGGGGCTTCGTAGGGGTAGTAGTAGAGCAGGCGTCACACTTCTTTTCGCAACCAAGGAGAGGCGCTGTAGGTACTAGGTTAGGTTGTAGATTTTAGGTGGTTTAGGTGGTAGATTCTAGGTTGTAGGTTGTAGGTAAGGTTAGGTTCAGTTTGGTTTGGTTTGGTTCGATAAGAAAGCAACTTTGGGTAGAGCGCCTTTCCTTGGTTGCAAAAAGAAGTGTGACGCCTGCTTTACGACTACCTTCGTAGATAACCTGCATGGTTAAAAAACTTAAACAATTTTGTTTTTACTGCCTGTAATCATTTTATTATTTACATTAAGTTGTATGGATAGGTTCTGAAATCATGCTTACAAAATGTCATTTGTATTTTCTTACCCCATCAAAGAAGATAAATGAAAATCTAGCAATGGCTCGGAATGCTCGGAATTGCCTTTAAGAAATCCACTTAGCTCTTGGACACTGCTGTTATTGCTATTTTGACATGTTTGGCCAATTTCTTAGTTGTGACTTATGCTACTGCACAAATTAATTGCTTACATTTTCTCCTTTACTAAATTAGCACATGGTCACTCCCTATATGCTTATAAATTTGGCATTGGTAGGGCAGACATAGCACGAGCTACCATATGTGATGCTGTAGATTGTAGGTTTTAGGTTGTAGGTTGTGGTTGTAGATTGGGTAATTTCTTCCAGTGATTGAAAGACTTTACTTTCGGCGAATTAAACTTTGTGATTGTTGTGGGCTGTGGCTGGGTAATGCTTGTTTTTGTTACATTACATTTATTTCTAACTCAGTGGACACTTAACTTTTGACTGGCATGCTATCGTTATGGGGTTTACCCATTGATTTCAGTTTCCCTGAAAAGTGAGTACAAAATTATATTTTTTTCTATGATGAGTACTGAGTACAAAAATCTTTGGTGTCTGGAGACACCAATCAGCGGCAACTTTTGCAACACTGGAACATAGGGTACACCAATGGTGGGCAGGTGGGTAAGTGCCCACCCACTTTTCGAGTGGGGGCCAACCATGTGTTTTGGCCCACCCACTTTTTACTCTAGGCCCTCGTCTCGATTTGAGAGGACGTCGTCACCTCCCATAATAAACAAACTTGGTAAAAATAAGTTCCACGAATCCCCACGCACGGACTCCAAGGGGCCGTGATGGATCCAAGGAGGCCCTCTATTCATACTTGACAGTCGAAGCGCCTGAGACTGATGGCCTGAGAGGCCCTAGTGGATCTGAGGAGGCCCCAATATCCACACTGGTCTGGGGAGGCCACTGACACCGGCGGTCTGGGAGGCCCCTTTATCCACACTAGTCGGAGGTCTGAGACTGGTGGTCTGGGAGGCCCCTCCCCTCCATCCACACTAGTCAGAATAGGCCCCTGACACTGGCGGTCTAGCCGAGGCCCCCTACCCTCACTAGTCAGAGGAGGCCCCTCTATCCTCAATAGTCAGAAGAGGCCCCTGAGACTGATGGTCTGGGAGGCCTATCCATCTACACTGTAGTCAGAGGAGGCCTCTGAGACTGATGACCTGAGAGGCCCTTATAATCACACCAGGCAGAAGAGGCCCATGAGACTGATGGACTGAGAGGCCCTTCTATTCATACTGGCCACAGGAGACCCCCCAAAACTTTCTGTCTGGGACTGGGAGGTCCCTCAATCCGGCACCAGTCTGAAGAGTCCCCTGAGACTGATGGCCTGGGAAGCCCTTATATTCACACTAGGCAGAGGAGGCCCC